AGAATAATAAAGAAGGATATTACTTGGAAATTTTATTAAAGTACATTTTAATATCATCACAGAATGTCAGTTATACCTCCCAAAAAGGAAATTTATTTTTTAAAAATATTCCTGATCTATGAGTATCTCCAGATAACTTGTAGTTTTTATAAACTTTTCAGAGCAATTTTATTTCTACTTTATTTATTTATTGTTTTTTGTTTGTTTTGTTTTTTCTGGTACCTGGAATTGAACTCATGACCTTGACCTTGCCAGGCAGACGCTGTGCCGCTGAGCTAAATCCCCAGCCCTCTACTTTATTTTTTAAAGGCATATACTTTTAAATTTTTTGCATTTAATTTTAAAACTTTTTTGAAGACTAGTATAAAACAAAATTAAATGTGCAGCTTATTTTTGAAACTAAATATATTTTAATAGAAAATGAAATGCAGACTTTTTAAGAAACAGGTATTTCTTTTTTGGGGTTTTTTTTCCGGTACCGGGAATCGAACTCACAACTTTGTGCTTGCCAGACAGGCACTGTGCCGCTGAGCTAAATCCTCAGCTCCAGTATTTCATTCTTTTTCAACTGATAGGAATTCACCTCTCACTTTCCCCTCAGTGGTCTGTTCTGTGTGTGTGTACGCTGGGCATTCACCTCACCAGGTGCTTGCCCAGCGGCCAGGGCAGAGCATGGGGTGGGGGGAGGTGAGCTGCTGGTGGAGGAGGGCAGATCATTGTGGGAGAGACCCGAGGAAACTGGCCCTCTGGTCAGAGGTCACTCAGAAACACAGTAGTGTGTCTGTTTTATTATCGTGCTTTGTGCAGGAAAAGTATTCAATCCCACAGTGACACTATCAAGATTTGAAAACAGGATCACTGCAGTAGTGATGGAAGTCCTGGGACAATTGGATGAGATAGACAGTAGTCCAAGGAGGGTTATGACTAGAGAAGCTCTTACTCCTGTTGACCTTTTAAAGGCTGGTTTGAGATCTATTGTAAATACTCGTGTAAGCTTAAGATATTCGTGAGACTGTTAGGAACCTTCCACGTTACTAAGAAAACCAAAAAAGAAAACATTTTACTGCCTGCAAAATAAATTATCCCTTAAGGTTTCAGAGACCAAAGCCATTGAATTTGCACCTCTTTTGTTTGCTCTTGCAGTACTGGAGGTGGAGAGCAGGGTCCTCCTCTCTTTCTAAGCAACATTCCTGGCCCCTGAGCACTTTTTGAAGAGCACAAAAGAGCAGTCATCAAATAAAGTGACATTTGAAACTTAATCTGACTGTAACTTTTTTCTGTTATCTTTTTAAGGGAAGCCTTCCCAACTCTTATGCTTTAACATGAGCAGGTGTTTTGGATTTTCTTCCTTATATGAATACATTTTATGCTCTTTTGCTTTGGGGCTTTGTGTGCGTGGTCTAAATTGTAGATCTTTCAGGAAAAGGTCTTGCAAGGTGGATCCTTTAAATATTATCTTAAAAACAGGTCAAATAGTGGAATAGACACCCTAGTATGCCTTAATTTTATATTAATATTGGAACAGTTAAACATTTGAGTATTACTAAGAATATTAGCTATCAGATTGTAGCTACAGAAAGTTTGAAATCTTAATTTATTTCAGATGTATGTGTACATATATAGATACACGTGACAAAGCATTTGTTTTGTAAATTGTATTATAAATGTTGTGAGGGGGAGAATTTAGGACTGTTTCTTTTTTAACACCAAGAAGAGTTTAAGAGAGTTAGAGATCTGAAAAGGGGATGAGGTCTTTGAGAGTGTCAAGTCTTTTGAGGGCGAATCTGGTATTGGTTTATGCCAGATAAAACTTTCTGAGTCAGTAGACTCCCAAGGGGTAGCAAAATAGTTTGCAGTGTTCAAAATAATGAAAATGATTTATATGTCTATGTCATAATATAAATTTCAGTGCTTTTAGGTGCAATATCTCATCCTATTCTAATAACCTTTATGAGTTAGGAATTCAGAAAAAATGTCTTTCCTAAGTTTTTCACCTATTAATTGGCATAGCTAGGATTAGGTCTTTAGTTCTTCTTTCCCCTTCAGACATATGTAGCTTCTTGGTGGTAGTTCTGTAAGAGGTGTAGAAGATTTGAGGATAGGTAAGTTTCCTCTAGAGAGCTATCAAGTAACTCCGTATGACTGAGTCTTGTGAAGCATCAACAGACATCAAGGCTGGCAAGATCTGACCCTAGAATCAAAGATAAAGATTTGAAAGTATTAGCTGGGCACTATGGTCCATGCTTGTGGTCCTACCTAAATAGGGTGAGATGAGCCCAGGAGTTCAAGAACAGCCTCTGCAGCATAGCAAGACCCGTCTCAAAAATAATATAAACTAGGCTTGGTGGTACATGTCTGTAATCTTAGCACTTGGAAGGCCGAGGCTGAGGCAGGAGGATCACAAGTTTGAGGCTAGTCTGGGCTACATAGTTAAAGACCCACCTGAACTACATAGTGAGACCCTGTCTCAAAAGAATAAAACAAAAAGCAACCCACATATATTAAAATAAACATTAGCTTTGACCTACTCTGAATGCTACCCATGTGAACTATTAATGTTTTAAACTTTATTTTTTATGATTTAAACTTAATAGAATCAAGATTAAGAAGTAGTAGCTATAAACTGGCATATTTGGAAAGAACTGCTTAGTTGGACAGCTTTGTGTGCATATTTGTGTGTGTGATTATAAATAAAGAACTTTTTATATGGTATAGTGATTTTTTTTTTTTTTTTTTTTGCGGTACCAGGGATCAAACTCACGACCTTGCGCTTGCCAAGCAGGCGCTTATGCCACTGAGCTATATCCCCAGCCCGGTATAGTGATATTTTGTAGGAGAAAAATTATTTCATTTTGATAAGATCATTATAAAAGTAACGAACACTTCCATATATGTCCATCACACTTGAATGTATCACATATTTATCTCATTGAATCCCCACAGTAACCCTACGAAGTTTTTATTCATCTTAACCCCACTTGACAGATGAGGAAACTGAGCCATTGAGAAGTTAAATCCCAAGCCACACAGCTAGTAAGCAGTGTTACCAGAATTCTAACCGGAATCTGGCTCCAAAATCTGTGCTGTTAAGCAGTGCACTATCAATATTTCCTGGTGCCAGATTGGGAGATATTTATAACCACTGGACATACTTGTATTTGAGGTTATATATTCAACTATTTAAAGCATTATTAATAGGTTACAAAAAAAAACATTTATGTATTCTTGGACAAGAAGTATTGGGGAATGGAAGTCATATTTTTCTAATATTAGATATTTCAGGACTAAATATGGCCCATTTAAGAGTCAAACAGCAGCTGAAAAAGTTTTCAGCACATGCATTAGTACAATATTAGAAGGCATTTGTTCTCAAGTATTTAAGTGCCCTGAATTTTAGTAATAGTTTCTTCTGAGACTAGAACGCATCCATTCTCTCAGCTTCTGTACTAATTTATAATGCACTGCAGAGTGATTTATGAATTGGAAAGTTTATTATTTTATCATAAACCTAATGTAGAAGATGAAGATGGCACAAGTTAAAAGACTACTTTTTTTATAATAAATACTGTCATTAATTCTCACTATCTAAACATTTTTCTCTTGACACTGTAACTATAAAAAAAGGAGTCCAAATAAGCAAGTTTGATTAAAGTGTCAAAAACAATGTAAATGTCATTAGGATTTTTACTTAGATCTGGTGTATATCTCACTAGAATAGAATGATACATTCCCCCAGTATATTATTATGCATAAAACTTTGTTGCTATTAACTTTGATAAACAAAATAATATACATATTTAAGTTCTCTGATGTGATTGAAAACATAATCATTTCTTTATATTGGATTTTGCCATCAACTAAAGATTAATACCCTCACCCTAGATGAGAACTTGACCTTGTAAATTGTAAATATTTAGGGGAGAGAGGATCTGACTCTAATTTTCTTTTAATAAAGAGATGAGTTGTTGATAATCTCACCACTGCTTAGTAAAATAAAAATTTTAGAATGCAGACACTAATTTTGTATCTTGTTAAAAAATACTATAGTAGCCTTGCATTTTAATTTAAGGAAATATGTCCATTACTAACCCTCCTCGGTTTGTGTTCTCTACAGGGTTCCCACTACACATATACATACCTGTACTGTCATGTAAGTAGGGATGGATAGTTGAGTGTGGTGGCATCTACCTTAAAGTCTCCGCTGTTGGGGAGGCTGAGGTGGGAGAGTCACTTGTGCCCAGCCTGGGCAACATAGCCAGTGTAGACCCTGACTTGAATGAATAAATGATTAAATGAATGAAAGAAAGGGAATTACTGTTTATGATACCTAAACAGTATTCTAAGTAAACTATTACTGTGTAGGTTTTTTTTAACCTTTAATCTTTTTTTAACCTTTAAAAACATTTATTAAATGACATTTGATCACAACTCTTCTCCACCCCATTTTCCCTAAAAACTACCACTAAGGTTCCTCCTGCTCCTTTTTTTTCTGTTTTTTTTTTTTTTTTT